CTGTACCAGCGGACCACACCTGATTGTGGTGCCTGCCGTTGTCCACATTAGGTTTTTCACCTCGGGTAGATCTGACAGTAATTATGCTACCGCAGAGGGGTTGGCACAAGAGTGTCAACCTGCGTCAAAATACTTATTGATCAATTTCTAATTTTCGGCTGTAGCCTTGTTGTGGCGGTTGTAACGCTTTTACACTTCAGTTCTTGGATTGAATTCTGTTTGATTTTTTCATGTGTAAGTAGCCTGCGACGGTTTCTTCTTGCTTCGAAATGGATCAGGAAATGGAAGCCAAGCGGTCAAAGTTACTCAAAGACGTCTTTGGCATTGCGGTGGCTTTTGGAGACTATTTCACGGCTTCGAAGCTTTGCACCGAATTCCAGTGAGTTCGTAGTTTTTTGATATCTGGTGGAATAGCTACTTATTTTAATATGTTAAGTGCAAGCATCGTGATAGCGCATGGATAGTAAATTATGGAATATAAGTCAATCTGTTTGTAAGAACGAACGAGGCGACCCCTAAATTGCTGCCCTTTAAACTGAAGGTCTTGCCGAAGATTCCTAGCGCCGACATGTTCGTCACTTATTCGCCAACTGGTGATGATTTAACACTTTGGAGACCGCGCGTGTTTTACGTTCCGCGGCCGCGCGGGACTTCGGTGAAATTTTTAGGGATCTTATCTAGCAAATTCAAAAGAAGAACCCACTGTATAATGCAGAAGAAATCTTATCGGATAAAATGGAAAAGAAAATGAATGAAAAACCTAATAATTGTTTACGAAATGCGAGCTGAAAGGTCCTATGCGGTCGGAGGACTGCAGCCCACATATGGGCTGCGTGGGCTCCAAGGTGTTAAGTTTCGCGCAAAATCTGCAATCAGGTTACGTTAACCTCGATGGCATTGAGCAATTAAACTGCTGCATTTTGATCCGTTGATTAGATTCACTTTATTTTGTTATTTTATTCTGTGGTATCCGAATTTCGTTTCATATCACAAATTGCGGTTGTCATCTTCAAATTAGAATTAGTTATTTGTATTTCGTTCGTGTTAGATGCATTTTGTTGCAGCACGAAATTCGTACAATTGCATGTGGAAACGAAGTACGCATGGCAGTACGCAACGGTAACATTTTGTATTCCGGAATTCCTGCTCAGCTGCCAGCAAGTGAAGATCGTATGCCCAAACAAATAGAAGATGCGCGCTTGTGGCAGAGAAGTTTTTTTTTTTTTGAAAATTACTTTCACATGTTTGGTCATTCGAGCATCAGGGGCGTATATTGTGTTTGCCTGACCCTATAATCTTCACCTGCTGGCAGTGGAGCAGAACTCCCAGTATATACAAAAATGTTGCCGTTACGTACTGCCACGGTATGTCCCAGTCATAAACTTGGTGCTACTCCCCAGACAGAACTTGCAGGGGCTCGAGATTTTCTTCTTCACTAACGTTCTTCTATTTCATACAGAGAGCTACTCGGATATTCGCTCGTCACCGCAGCGCGTACCGCCGGCTATGTATCAGTGGACGACATGCTCTCAAAATCTTCGAAACATTGAGTCGACATATATTCAGGCCAAGAAGCACTACAGAGTCGTGTAAGCTCTCATCTATACGTATATGTTTCGGGAACGGAAATCTTAACATAATTGGGATGTTACTGGAACAGCGAACTCTTTGATTGAGAGCGAAAACTGAACAGTGTTAGGTGCTTGAAGGAAGATATACCAGAAACAAGTTACTGAATATAAGCTAATGGTGAAAATATGGTGACTTAATTTGAAATGAATAGGGAGAGAAAAGGAAATAGGGAATCTCTGTGAAGGCTCTGAAGATATATATATTCGCTTCAGAAAATTATGTTGTTTTTTCTCGACTATCTTTAAGGGAATCTTTCACGGAAAAAGCTCCGCCCTCATTACCACAGAAAACGATACCTTAAAGGAATCTTCCACGGAAAGAGTGATCATTTTGTCTTGTGTGTAGGATTAGTATTATCGAAACTAACGCTTATGTTCCGTTCTTTTTGCTATGCTCATGAGGCTAGGGGCCTAAGGGGTATCGTTTTTCTGTGGTAATGGAGGCGGAGCTTTTTCCGCGGAAGATTCCTTTAACCGCACTGAACAGATGCCGAAAGCGCACCATTTTTCTTTTTTGACCATGTTAGACTGGCGCGATTTCGCAAGCGGGCTCGTCGCCATTTAATCCGTGGATTTCGGAGAGTGAATGCACGAAAACACGGATGACACAAAATAAAGGATAAAGGATAAAGCATTTGCCGTTGATCAATCCCTTTTTGGGATGCGGCACGCATTCTACTTCCATTTGTACATTCGTAGTGGCGTTTGAATGCGATGTGGCCTATACAATGACTTGCGGGGGCCAGCCGATGTACAAGTCAGTGTTTTTATCCTCCCAGACAAGTCTGGTACCAATTAACCGACCCCGGAGGGATGGAAGGCTTGGTTGGCCCGGGCGACTCACGACCCAGGATTTGATCCCCGGACCGCTCGCGTGGTAAGCGCGCCACTTGTCACTACACCACTTCCGCCCTGATGTCGAAATAATTCATTCAATGTTCAATCCGGGAGTCAAATTTTAGGTTCTCGATCGAAGGAAGTGTTGCAAAGGAAGAAAATTTCGAATTTTACCACTTTCTTCGTGGTGGACGTGGAAAATATTTTAACGTGATTGTTGCACTAAAAATTATTTTGCCATTAGCACAGGGTTGACGTTTACTTCTACGCAATTCTCTTTTACTTACGTTTCCATGATAAAAAAGAAAACATGGAATAAAGTAGAGAAAGTGAGAACCCTTGGAAAACCTGTGCTAAACTAATGCATATCTTTCCAATGTTAGGACGAGGTTGCTTTCTATCATAGGCCATGTTTGTGTGCTGTGATAGATTAAACGCTTTGCGACAACTGTCACCGACACGAGTGGTGGCAGGCGCTATCTGTTGCGTGGAACAGTGGCACCCATTGGTGGTTTCGCCTTGGAATTTCCTTATGTGCGTGTTTGAAACATTTTGATTATACCAGAATTATTCGCCAGCCTTAACATCTATATCCACCATGGTTCACAGGAAAGTTCAATATGAGTTATTTTATCAGGTCAAGCAAAAATTTTCAAAATATCATCAAAAAATCCGCAGTTTTCATTTTACTCATAAGTTTCTTAACAAAACCAAACAAAACAACAATAAATGAGTATCAACAAACGCTCTCGAACAGCCTCTGCAACCGTGCCTTCATCCCAGGCTTCATTGATTCTACGAGCAGATGCAGAAGCATTCGGTTTCGAGCTCAACTTGCACTCATGTAGCATGAGCAATCTTTTTTGCTAGCGTGTAAGCTCCAGAGTGAAGCAAATACACAAGTGTTGTACATCAAAATGTACAAGAGATTGCGCGCTTTCAGACTACATCATAATCTTTGAAAATAATCAGCAAAAAATCAAAGAGACGTGAGCCTAAAAAATCAATGGATAATTTCTGCACAACCTAATATATAAAATTTTAGGGTGGCATTGTGTGGCGTTTAACTCGCCGGCATAGTGATTGGAATTTCGCATGCTTAGGCCTGAGATTGATTACCTATCCGCTTTCAAATCCAAGTTCCCCTTTCAAACGTCCAACTCTCTTTACAAAATATATTGTGTAAAAGATTAAGCTACACTTACATCCAGCCCACGCTGCTCTAAAGTCGGGAATTGGATAGAAAAACTGCTTTGGGGACAATTTTATCCACTGTCTTGAGTCTCGACTTTAGTTCCGTTCGCATTTCTTCGTAATCGTGTTCACTCTTTTTATTTTGCCCTAAACAAGAAAGACATACATCTGAGTCTTTCCAGTTTCAAGAAGTACCTCAACGAGTACCTAGAGCCATGAAGACTTCCTCGTTCCGTCATCTTTTTTTTTGCTCATTACCTCTCCCTCATGCTTTGTTTCTCAACTCTGGTCTCGTACATCAATTTCAGAAATGTTTTGTTTTTATTGTTTTTTCATGTTTTTTTTGTGCCTGATGTTTGATTCAGTGTTTTCCGCAAACTTTCTACCACATGAGTCGCATCTGAAATGAATATATGCAAATATAATATGTTGAGCGAAAGTTGGAAGCTCCAAAATGGGGCGTGGTTCCACGAGCCTAATTGCAAACTCCGCCCACTTTGATGTAAGCCACGCCCATCCCTGACATTTAGCTTCCCCTCCCCTCCTGACCTCTATCCGCTGTTTTCCGGTCTCTAAGTCATCTCGGAGCCGATTTATGAGCTCTTGTAGAAAACGCTGTCCGCTTCACGACACGCTCCGCCCATTGTGGGCGGGCCTCCGTTCACATCATGCGTGGTGGAAATACCTTAGGCATTGCTCCCCTGCACTAATTTCGTTTCTGGTCTGTAGGCTTCTTCTTAACCGAGTTATGAATATTTTCACTGAGCACCCATTTTCTAGAGAACGCCCCGCCCACCGAGGGTGGGTCTCCTCAGTTCAATCTGGCTTACCAACCCACACCTATGCCCACTTTTGTCCCGGTCTCGAGGCTGTTTTGTGACTGAATTTGAAATCATGGTCCTCAGTACCACTCATTTCGACGCACGCCACGCCCACTGTGGGCGGGGCTCCGCTTAGGTAATGTATGTTTTTTACTTCTCGAGATATGGTACACCCATCCCAAACATGACCTGGACCCAGTAGGTTGTTGTCCGCTTAATACGGAATTTCGTGACAGACAGACAGACAGACTTAGCGCATTATATATAGTAGGGATTTAACTGAAGGACTTGTTCAGAAAATTATTACGATTCTTAGTTGACCAAAGGTGAAACAAGTAGTTAGAGTAAGCAAAAACTGTTGATGTGAATGAAACAGTCAGGCTGGTAATGCTTCGGACGTCCACTGTAGCATTAGCTACAAAAATTTTGCTTCCTAGTTGTCACTGCGTTTGTGATCGAAATTTTTATGCTATATCCATTGATAACTTCCATGATCATTGCAGGATTTTTTTTTGTTTTTTCCTCATGTTCTGTATATCTGAAAACATAAGTTTTGCATCTCTGAAAATCCAGGGCGGTTAGACCGACGTCATAGTCGGCGACGGACCAAGCGATGGAGCGATCGCGATCGCTCCATCGCTTGTCCGTCGCTTGCCAATCGCTCTCGGTCGAGCGATTGGCAAGCGATTGCGCAATGTGCACAAGCGACGGGCGATTGGCCCCGCCCCCAGTCAATGCAGTCGGCTGCGGTATCGATCGAGCAGAGCCATTGCCCGTCGCTTGTGCACTTTGCAAGCGATTGCGCAATCGCTTGCCAATCGCTCGACCAAGAGCGATTGGCAAGCGACGGACAAGCGATGGAGCGATCGCGATCGCTCCATCGCTTGTTCCGTCGCCGACTATGACGTCGGTCTTAGCTGAGGCGGCCGTGCTCGCTATGCTGTGCATTTGCCACAAAGCCAAAAAAATTAAAAAAAAACTTGCTATCGCCATTGTTTTTATGCCTGACTCTCGAGCTTATTGCTTCGTACCGTTTCATTATTTTAAGGAAATCTGCTGGTAGTGAAGCTACGCAGAACATTTCGGCTCTCATTAAACAGGGCAAGAAAAAGAAGCGGAATGTCAAATTCAACACCTCCGAAAGGGAATATTTGAACAGGAACGTCAATGCCGCGCGGTCCTTCCGATCCAAATCCGTGAGCTCACCTCTTTTCCATATATGTAGGATGGGCGAAAACCGGAAACCGCGAGCGCTCACGACTCTTCAGTTTTTCTGGGCTCTCGTTCGCTTATGATAATTTTGTGTACTGTTGTTTTTTCGCTGTCACAATACACTTGAGAAGCTGCTTTTTTCATGGTGAGATCGTTTTTTATCCTAAAAATCTCATTGGGTTCGCGCCACCACTTCCAGGAGACTTCTAGTGAATAAGACCTCCATGTATGGCATCGTTAGAAGGTTTGAAGAATCCAGAAGCCTTTCTACATGGCGGGCGAATTCGAAAAGCACTTCCGTCATCCGAGCTGATTTCACGAGAGTTGCAGAACCAAATTTTGCGAGTTCAACGAGTTGCGTTCTCGTTTGAACATTGGAATGGGCTCGATTGATGCTTCTTCGGAGTGCTGGGATCCAGTCCTGCAAAAGTCGCTGAGAACTTCAGAATTTCAACAAGTTGCTCTTGAGCGGGTCCGACATGAAATTGATGACACCTACTTGTGTACCAATTACGTGACTACTTGAACTTCCCTCCATGTTTTTGCCGCGAATGCGGCGCCCAGCCCGGTTCTAAAACTTAAGGAGGGAGGTAAGAACTCTAGGACTAACCATGGGAGGGAGAAAGGTGTGGGGCGACTGAGCCAGTCACACTATGGCAATAGTTTGAAAGTATGAGATCACAGCAATCTTGATTGCTGTTGGGCGAGAGCATCGAATTGAGGCGGTATAAAGAACCGAGTTCAAGTTGCTCGTATAACTGGATCTCCAAGCAACCTGAGTCTCTCTTTAAAGCTGGTGGAGGGAAATTCGAGGGTATATGATTAATATTGTTCCTCGTTGAGCAATGAGTTATTGTTTACAGTCATGATTCGAACTGATCAGCTCATCAGATTCTACGTCTTCTCTGAGTTTCCGTGATTTTCGCCCTCTCGGTTTAATTCTTGTTGTGCCGCGTTCCCAGCAACCTTTGTTTTTTAGAGCTATGGCGCCGGTTTCGTTCATCCGCTACGTGAAGCATTTTTCACCAATTCACAGCAGGTAATTTGTACATTATAAGACAAGGCTTTTCTGGTAATCTTCTTTATGTGACTGTGGAAAGTACCGATTCATGAGCCCATCGTTTATTTTTTGTGTGACAAAGTGAAATGCATATACCTATCTATGCACATCTCTATAATGGAGAACAAAATCTACATGTTGTCTTGTCAACTGCTGTTTTC